TTTCGAAGAAAACAAATTGAGAATCCTAGTTCCTTCTATGAAATTCAGTGTGACAGTGATGCTCGTATGATAAATATGTTTTGGGTTGATGCTCGATCTCGATTAACATATGAATATTGTAACATCCCAAAATAGGGCTGGCGAATAAAATATAAATTTCGAAAACTTTGTGCTTAATTTCAAAATAAGTTAAAAGTTTAGGGACTTAATTAAAGAATTTTGATATTGGATTGATTAGAAAAGTTGGAAAGATGAGAGGGTATAATGGTCATTTCATAAGGAAGATTTTTATTTTCCTTTATATTGGATATAAAAACATGGAAATGGGATAAAAGGAAAGAAAAGTCTGGAGACTTGGTTCTCTTCTTCTCCCTCGTTGCCGTGAGCTTCATTTTAAAGGTGAGTTTTGGTAAAATGATTCTTTCTTTAGTTTTAAGCTTAGTTTTGATTCTTGGTGTGTAATAAACCTTAATTAGAGATTAATGTGTTGAAACTCCAAGATGGATGAGTTATGAATGATTAAATATGAAGAGTTTTTTAAGTGAATTGATGAAGAAGAAGTTATAAAAGGATTTTTAAGTCATATTTCAGTTGTCAAGAATCTAATTAATAAGTTAGAAGTAATAGAAGTGAATTAAGAACATGTTCAAAAATTTTGTAAAATTCTTGGTTTCAAGAATTAAGATGAGTTATCAAAGATGATGATAGGTTATATGGATATAAGATGATTTGAATAAGTGTAGTTAAGCTTAAAGGGTTAAAAGGAGGTTATGGTAGAAGAATTAAGTAAGTTTGGTAAGATTTTTGTGTTAAGGAAGTTTATTCTGGGCAAGGGGTATCGGTACTGTTCATCTAGTACCGATACTTCAAAGAGAAAATGAGTGGTAATTGAAGCATGTGTATCGATATTGGTTGAATGAGTATCAATACCTGGGCTTTTTCTCGATTCACTACTTCTTGGAAGGAAGAGAGATTCAGTGATAACAATAGCTCTTTCAATCGAGGGTGCAAACCCTCTATAAAGCAATCACATGAGTCTTTTTCCGTATGGACCAACTCTGCAGCAAATATGCTCAGCTTGTTGAACTCGAACTCATACACGATATGATTTTCTTGCTTTAAACTCATAAATTCTTATTTCATTTAACAGATGAACTTATCCCCGATGTATTTATTCTTAAACTCTTCCAAGAAGAACGACCATGTCACTTGGTCCCTTGTAGCTCTCATCATCACATTATACCACCATATTCTGGCTTGACCTTGTAGGAACGAAACTACCCCATCCAACTTCTCAATTTCAGAATAATAGAGATTCTCTAGCATTATCTTAAGGTCATTAAGTCATAGATCGGTAGCAACATGACATTCCTCAACTTGTTCGACATCTATTAAAATCAATTTACTAATATATTAGTAAGGACAACATACTAATTACCTTATCAGATTAGAGAGACTTTACTTTTAGTTGGCATGTACACTTTTTAAAAATAAAAACGACTTCATTTCGAACTTAAAATCAATTAAACCATAGCTCTGATACCATTAAATATAACACCCTTAACCCGTACCCGACCCGGATACGAATCTGAGGTGTCACGTTGACTTTTCAAAACATTGACTCTTAAAAAGTGGGGTAAAATTTAAACTTTTATTCATATTAAAATGGTGGAACCCTTGCATTAAAGTAAATAATTTAAACTTGCATTCAAACTTAAATAAACCTTAATAATTTACATAAATACAAAAGTATAATTTTACAAAATATATAAGAGCATTTCAATTTAAACTTGTAGTATATGCCAACAATTTACAAAATATATCACACGCTAAGTCGTTGACTTAGTGAGGCAAGTACGAGCTAATCAAACTTTATAAAATAAATCTTTATTCATTTCATAAAACATTTCATAAGGGATTCAAATTTCTTTTCATAATAAGAATACATAGTTCTATACTTTGTTTGATTCATATAACTTTATTTTCAAATGCCCAACGTATACTACTGAAAACTCTAGGTATTTGAGTACATTAAGGCTGTGCACTAATGATATCACCACAGCTCACATAATTTGTACCGAAGTGCCATGTAGTTATCTTGAAGGACCACATAGAACCCTCAACTCTTGGCATGCCAACTATACCTCTAATCCTCATACATATACCTTGGGCTTTTAACCACATAATTATTCATTATTTCTTCATTCAAAGTATATCTTGTTCACATAGGCACTTTCACATCGAGTAATTTCGTATACACATATTAACATGTCACATTTTTATAATCATTTACCCATAAACATCAAAACATAAATTAAGTATAATAACTTGAATAAAACATTGTAAAAATATAACATAAAATAAATATAAAGTTTTTCGATCGAAAACTTTAAGGTTGGCTTATCGCAAGCCGCCCTCAAATCTAATATAAAACAAATGAGTTGCACTCACCTTTGCCTCACGTAAGTTCTAGCAAAATCTTTATCAATCTTGATCGATAACTTATAACGTCGAATTGTCTGGAATTTATCTTTGTTCTATGTCTACACAATAACAATAAAAAATGAATATCACAATTCATATCGCTTATAACTAAACATAATAACTTAAGCTAAAAGAAACACTTAATTCATCATTTCAAGCACACTAGTATCGGTACTTCTCCTACAATACCAATATTTTCCTTTTATGGTATTGATATCCACTTTGGTACCGATACCATTTTGGCATTCTGTAATTTTAAACTTGATAATGGAATCGATACTCCCATTTTAGTATCAGTACCTCGTTCAACCAGTATCGATACTGCTCCTCGAACTCAACCTAATTTTTGCCTTGAAGTATCGGTATTGTTCTTCCAGTACCGATACCCTTGCCCAGAAATTATCATTTTTATTTCGAAAATTAACCAAAACTTACTTAAATCTCTCACTTTTATCTCCTTTCACGCCTTTTAACTCAACTACTCTTATCAAAACCAACTTATATCACTTTAACACCCATAATCAACCAACATCCCACTAAAACACTTGAGACTAAAATTCATACCTTAATTTCAATCATGTTCTAAATCATTTCTAATACTTCAAACACTTTAATTTGGCCCTTGACAAGTCAAATATGTAATTAGAATTCACTTACTAACCATATTTCATAACTTCACTTAAAACCCATTTTACTAATCCTTTGATAAATCACTAATTTCTTGGTTTTTATCAACCTTAAACTTTCCTTAAGCTTATATATTACTCAAATACCACAACCAAACCAAAAATTTCAAGAAATAATCAACTAAATCTTACTCACCTTTGAAATGGTTTCCACAATCAAGGAGGAAGAAGATAACTAAGGTTTCCATATTTTTCCCTCCTATTCTAGGTGTTTTATATCCCTTAAAAGGGAAGATAAAAATCTTTCCTTTGAAAAGACCATCATGCCCTTCCAATCTACCAACTTTGATATCAAGCCCTAAACAAACAATTTCCAAAATAAATCCTTGAACATTTCAAGTTATTTCAATTAAACCACTAAGTTTTGAATTCTTACATTTTGGTCAATGACCTGATGATTGGGGTGTTACACAACTTTTCACCAAAAGTTTCTTATGCTCTCCTAAGTGTCCCTATATGAGTCTTCTAGCTTTTAGCCTTCATCATTTGGCTCAAATCAGCTCCCTTAGGTGTGACCGAATGTACCTTCAATACAAAAAACAAAATATGCTAAGTATTTAAAGTAATAATTATTAAATATAAAGATGTGGGCTAAGGCTATAATAATAACTTCATGCATCACATAGTAATGAATGAAATATTATCATCATAGTTATAGGTGTAATATATATATATATAAATAAATCTATGTCATAAATGAGATATGAGTCGTGTATTATGAATATAATCATCATAATCATAGTGTAGGAAAATAATAAGTTAGAGAACCCCCTTTGAATCTTATGAAAGGATGGAGATGCATGGATGAATATGATGCTGAATCTGTTCGCATCATATAATATTGAAAAAATTATATGATTTGCGTCATCTACTGCCATAGTTACTATATTCGAAAAACTACCATTCACGGTTGTCATCCACCATGTCGTCTTCAACACCGTCGAAATTTCACACCTGCAGATCGAAATGGAGTTGACTTATACATTGATTTCATCTTCTTCTTCACCCGCTTTTCCCATTTCACATTAGAATTTTAGGATTAGGGATTTTGTTCCTAAAGTTTAAATAGACCCAAACAATAAATAAATAAATATCATTATTTTAATTTTTTTTATTATTTGTAAATTCGATGTGGCATGTTTAATATTAAAATATTCCTCGTCAACAAGTTGTTAGTGATATAACGGTAGAGTGACAAAAAAATTCAATCTAAAGTTGAGCGAGAAAATTGAAAAAATTGAAAGTACAGAGAAAAAAATAGGAGTTAAAAGAAAGTTTAGTTATCAAATTTGTAGTTTACCCTAGATATTTTTATTATTTTTTGTGAAGAAAACGAGCCTCATTAAAAAAAAAATTAAGCCTAATAGGAAAAAGAGTACCCAAACATATATTAACTTAAACTAATATCAGTCAATACAGTTGTAGAAATCATCTCAGGTCAAACCGAGTCAAAATACAACGAATTGTCGAAACGAAGAGCCTAGGAGGCCAATTCATGAGCTATGGTATTACAATCACGAAGAATAAATCTAAGACCGTAATTCCTATTACTAGCCAAAATCCAACAAGCCTTCTGAAGATGGAAGCTTAAAGTACAAAGATCATTCCCATTACGAGAAATCTTATTGACCAAAAGCGTGGAATCAGTCTCAAAAACCATCTGGGCCCTGGAATTTTCCTACGCAAACCGAAGACCTGCAAGGAAAGCATTAAAGTATACGTACTAAATATAATATTATACCTTGTAAATATAGTTGTATATTTCCGTTGATTTACAAATGGAAACATGGAGAAGTCCCGGAAATGGCGTTTCTCAAGGAAACCGAAAGAAACAGCAGCCTCTCCGATTCGGAAAATGCGTTTTCACATAATCTTATTGGTTCTCTCATGCATCTTTGCAATTGGAATCAGTTCGACAGCTGACCAGTTTAAGGTAGATGGGGAAGTGTTCGAGTTGGACGAATCCAACTTTGACTCCGCTATTTCCTCTTTCGATTACATCCTCGTCGACTTCTACTCCCCTTGGTGCGGCCACTGCCAGCACCTTTCCCCCCAGGTTTCTAACTCTTTATCCAATGTTTGCAGAACCCGGAATTTGCATAGTTTTTTTTAGATGCCATTTCTATTTCTTAGTTGAATCGGTTTGATTCTAATCATATTTGGTAGCTTTCTTTCCATCGTTTTGCCTTTGATTTCCCATAAAAGTTGTGCCAATGTCGTTAAATAACTTCTTTTCTTTTTCTTCGTTGCAGTTAGATGAAGCTGCTCCTGTCCTTGCAGGATTGAAGGATCCAATAGTGATAGCCAAAGTTAATGCTGACAAATTTACCCGTCTTGCTAGTAAACATGATGTCGAGTAAGCGACTATGACTTTTGTTTATAATGGTGGATTAGGAATAATGTTCCCTAATGTTCTTCTGCATTTGGCTTGTAGAAATGCCCTTATGTATTGCTGGTAATCCAATTGAAAAACCTAGAAATTGTTGCAGCAATTCTTTGTTTTGGGAATAATCTATAGATTTTTTAAGTAAAACCCATGGCTAACAGTAATAGTTATTTGTTTTGATGCATTTCTTTCGATCTTTAGCAATGCATTTCTGTTGGTGCCTTTTATACATAATTAAAGAACATGAATTATTTATTTCATAAATAAAGCATACGATATCCTCAGGCTTTATAGTCGAAATTGGATTTTGCAGTGCATACCCTACCCTCAAGCTCTTTATACATGGGGTTTCTATGGAGTATTATGGACCAAGGCAATGAGACAGACTTGTTCAGTATCTGAAGAAATTTGTTGCTCCTGATGTGTCTATTCTTACTTCAAACTCTGCCATTAGTGGTTTTATTGAAGAAGTGAAATACCCCAAGTATCAGGTTAGAGAATTTATTGAAAAGATTTAAATTTTGAGGATTTAATTAATAAATGATAAAGTATAAGAAAATAAATTAGAAATTTATTTGGTTAAGACTACTTTCTAAGAAAGAAAGAATGAAAGGGGTATTTTGGTCCTTTAATGGGAAAATGAATTATGGTATTAAAGTAAGGTAAAAGGGAAGAAAAGGAGAGTGTTAATACCTTGGGTATCTTTCTTCTTCTTTCCCGTGTTCACGTGACCTTCTCCATAGATAAGGTAAGTTTCATCAAATGAGTTTCTGCTTTCGATTCTAGTTTCTTCTTGCATCCTTAAGTGATATATAAGCTTAATAAAGGGTTAAATAACATTAAAACTAGGAGATGGAGGAAATATTAGAGATTTAAGAAAATGGGTTTTTGAATAATATGTTAGAATATGAGTTTTTATTGGTGTTTATTAGTATATTTGACTTGTCAAAGAAGTAAATAAGATATTAGAAGCATTGGATGAGATTAAAAACATGTCAGAAAAAGTGGTATAATTCTTAGGTGAAAATGTTCTCGGGAGATTTTAGATATTTTAAGAAGTAAATGAAGGAAAGTTAGTAGGGATAAGTAAAGAAGAGTTTAATAGTATTGTTGAGGGTAAACATAAGGAAATTTGACCAAATTTGGGTAATAATCGGGCTAAAAAATGAAAAATCTGGGTAAATGTATCGGTACTGATAGAACAGTACCGATACTATAGGTTTAAATGGGTAGAAAAATGATGAGCAATACATGTACTAATGTAATTAGTGTCGATACTGATAGGGTATCAATACCGAAACAAAAATATTGCTACCATGGATTACAGAATGTCAAAATGGTATCGATACTGAAAGGGGTATCGGTTCCATAGTATAGAAGTATCGATACCAGGGTAGGAATACCGATACTATTGAGCCTAGAATCTAAAGATAGGTTGAAATTGTTATAGAAATCTAAATAATAGTTCTTGTGAGTATTATTAAAGTATAAATGCTCAATGCTAGAGAATATACTAACATTTGGTATGGTATGTGTCTTTAATGGATGATTGAGTAGATTGTAACCCAACTCTCGAGTCAAGCAAAAAAAAGGGCAAAGATAAAGTTACCAAGTAGTTGGATATCCTTAAAGCATAGAACTGAGGCATACCGGGTGAGTGCATTTATTATGTACATTAATAGTTAGATATGCATGTTGTTAAAGGCATATGTTGCATTTGTATATTAGTACTATTTGTACTATAAGCACTAAGTGTGCAACCCACGGAATTTATAATATGTTGTTGAACAACCGTATAGGCACTAAGTGTGGAACCTACAGAATTCATCATGTGTTGATGAACAACCATATAGACACTAAGTGTGCAACCCACGGAATTCATCATATATTGATGAACAACCGTATAGGCACTATACGTACGAACCATAGAATTCATAATATGTTTATGAATGACCATATAGGCACTATGTGTATATCTCAATAAAATGATACTGACTTTAAATGAATGAATTGGTATTCAATGGATATGAAATAATGAAGAAATGATATCATATCAATAGTATTCTTGCCTCATTAAGGAAATACTTAACGTATGTTTATTTCATGCGTAGGTTCTATCAAGCCGCGTAAGGAGTACATCTGAAATCACCAATCCAGAATTGCCTCATCAGTAAATGTATGATATCTATGTCTATTTTGATATTATTAGTTTGTATGTAATAGAATTATGATAACGCTCTGCAAAGTTTTTGGTTTTATGTTGATGTATGAAGGATAAAATCCTAGAATGTTAACTTTTGATATATACTAAAGTCTTTAATGAATGTTTTATAAATACTATATTAAAATGTTTTAAGAAAAGAAAAAAATTATTGGTTTTCTAAAGAGGTAATGCTTTTAAAGTGATGTGACATTTGTATCTCATGTATAGAAATGTATACGGGATATGGGTGTTACATTTATTGGTATCAAAGCTACAGGTTTAGCCGATTCTCGGTCGAAACCGAATGTATTTTATTGTAAAAAAGGTTTACATGCCACTAAGATGTCAAGGATACTGATAGGGTATGAATAGAATATGATCGATGTCTCCTCTTACTAATTTAAGTATTATTCATATCTATGTTATATTAGACGTCAGATTCTACAAATTCAAGAAGTGCAATTGATAAAGAGAATATCAATAGATCGGGTAGTGAAAGCTATGAAGAGAATAGTGAGCACCCGATTCCATCCGAGAATGCTAGCGCACCAGCACCTCAGGGTACATCAGTTCCAGAGTTTGGAGCTTTTATGCAAGCTCTGGATGCTATCTAGGTGTGGTGGTTAAATACAACGATGTATTCATTACCATGATCAAGTGAACTGGCAATTCTTTCAAGATGAGTTCAATATCAATTACATCGTGGAGCAGTTTATGAGGTCAATGCTGTTGAAGTTTCTTAATTTGAAACAAGGCAATATAGTAGTGCATGAGTATGAGGTTAAATACAACAAACTTAGTCGTTATGCTACTGAGGTAATTCCCAATGATAAAGCCCGACGTGATTGGTTTATCGACGGTCTAAGGCCTAAGTTGAAAGAGATGATGTTGGCGACAAAATTGCCTAGCCTACCAGAAGTCTTAAACCAAGCTAAGGCTATAGAGAGAGCTCAAGAGGAGACTCTAGGAGCGGAGCAGAGTTTGCAGATAGGGAAAAGAGTTGGAATGTCTTCAACTTCCCATCATGCTAAGAGAGGCAAGGGCTCGAGTATATGGAGAAAACTAAACAATCACAATCTGCTACTTCTAGTTCGGGCAGAGCTTATGGAGAAATAAGTAATCCATGTCAGACATGTGGCAGATTTCATCAGGGAGTATATAGAGTGCTCTCTGGCGCTTGTTTTCTTAGTGGAGAAACGAGCCACTATGCTCAGAACTGTCCACAAAGATCCGGAGATAGATCAGTGCAAACTGAGAGATCAGTAGCAACACCTAGTAGAACCAGAGGAAAAGGAAGATTCAGTGGTCAATCTGAGTCTATCTAACGATAAGAAATTCAGGGAGTGGCTCGAATTTATATCATTAAAACTAATGAGGATCAGGATTACCCGAAAATCATAACAGGTACATTTCATCTTTTTTATGAGCCTATATTTGTTCTAGTTGACCCTGGTTCTACACACTCTTATATTAGTACAAAGTTGGTAAGAACTAGAGGAATTTCTTTACAACCAATTTTTAGTGAAATGATAGCGGTAAACCCTGTGGGTCATAGTACAAGGGTAACTCGAGTATGTAGAAAATGTCCAATCAAGATTCAATGGGTTGTGTTCCTGAAACAATTGATGGAGTTTCTTTTCGACGAGTTTGAAATCATTTTGGGCATGGATTGGTTATCTCCACATCATGGATGGGTGGATTGTTGCATGAAACGATTATTTTTGAAGGATGTGGGAAGCTCCGAAATAATAATGATTGGCGAAAAAGGAAATCACCATCCAATGTGATATCAACCATGAAGGCAAAGAAAATAATGTAATATCGGAAGTGATATTAAATGATATCCCAACAGTTAAGGAGTTTCCAGAGAAATTATCGGGTTTACCTCCAGATCGTGAGGTGGAATTCAGAATTGAGGTTAACCCGGGTACCAAACCGATTTCTATGGCTCTGTACCAAATGGCTTCAACAAAGTTAAGGGAATTAAAAGCCCAGTTATAAGAGCTACTTGATAAATTATTTATCAGACCCATTGTTTCTCCTTAGGGAGCACCTATTCTATTTGTGAAGAAGAATGACGAGTCTATACGGTTATGTATTGACTATCGTCAGTTAGATAAAGTAACGATAAAGAACAAGTATCCTCTTCCAAGGATTTATGATATGTTTGATCAACTAAAAGGTGCAACGATGTTCTCTAAGATAGATCTGAGGTCGGGTACTATCAACTAAAGATCGAAAAAGATAATATTTCGAAGATAGCTTTACGGACCTGGTATGGACACTAAGAGTTCGTGGTAATGCCATTTGGACTGACTAATGCTCCTGCAACATTTATGAACTTGATGAACAGATTATTCCAACCGTACTTGGATTAATTCGTTGTAGTATTTACTGATGATATTTTGGTATATACCAAGTCAAGAGAGGAACATGATGTTGATCTTCGAGTGGTTCTTCAGATACTTCGAGAGAAGAGGTTGTATGCCAAATTGTCCAAGTCTGAATTTTGGTTAGTTGAAATTGTCCAAGTGGTTCTGCAGAAGGTATAAGAGTAGATCCCAAAAAGATTCAAGCCAAAGTGGATTGGAAACCCCCAAATAATGTTTCAGAAGTTCAAAGTTTCTTGGGACTTGTTGGTTATTATAGGCGGTTTGTGAAGAATTTCTCAATGTTAGCGTCGTCGCTAACTAAGTTGTTACGAAAAGATATGCCTTTTGTATGGACAGAGAAATGCCAAGAAAGTTTTGAAATACTAAAGAGAATAGTAACAGAGGTCCCAGTGCTTGTGCAACCTGAGTCTGTTAAAGACTATGTCGTTTTCAGTGATGCATCCCATAATGAACTAGGATGTGTGCTAATGGAAGAAGGGAAAATTGTGGCTTATTCCTTGAGACAGCTGAAGAATCATGAGAGAATTACCCTAAACATGACTTGGAATTGGAAGCGGTAGTGTTTGATTTGAAAATTTAGTGCCGTTATCTATACGGTGAGCGTTGCCATGTTTACACGGATCACAAAAGTCTAAAGTACCCGCTGACTCAGAAAGAGTTGAATTTTAGTGTAACACCCCAATTTAGGGGTAAATTATAAGTTTTTGAAATTGGTAGTCATAGAAAAGTGTAGGAATTCGGGGACCATACTCATAATTTACCTATTTTCTTTAAGTGAGAATTATAAACCCCTCTCCCGTGAATTCTACTTTTCCCATATTATTTTCCCTGAATTCCCTCCCCCGCCAACCCTCCTATGAGTTTCGATT